GGTTGGGAGTCGCGTTTACCCGTGCGTACGCGTTCCGCATAGGTATAGCCGACACTGCCGACTGTGCACACTGCGGAGATGAAGAAACAATTCAACATATTCTGTGTGACTGCCCGAAATACAACCTGGAAAGACAACACCTTTCTAATAAACTAAACAGGTTAGATGACCAGCCGCTGTCAGAAGAAAGTATACTGCGCCATCGTCATGACTCATCGTCACAGAAGAAAGCCGTGCAAGCGCTACTGGGCTTCTTACGAACTACTGGCCTGTCGGAACGCCTCTGAGTGGACTGATTTTGTGCGTGCGTGTGTGTCGGTGTTTTTCTCCTATTTATTTTTTTTACTCTCCCTTACTCTTTCAACCCCCTATTCCCCAACCCCAGTGTAGGGTAGCATACCGGATACTAGCATCTGGTTAACCTCCCTGCCTTCCTTATTTCTCGTTTTCTCTCTCTCTCTCTCTCTCTCTCTCTCTCAGCTGTTCCTGTATGTACGGCTTCACAAACGCGTTCAACAAGTCCACCCTCCAACGTGCCATTATTCTCTGGAATAGTTTGCCTGATCATGCCCCGCCACGGTGGTCCAGTAACTAAGGTACTCGGCTGCTGACCCGCAGGTCGCGGGATCGAATCCCAGCTGCGGCGGCTGCATTACCGATGGAGGCGGAAATGCTGTAGGCTCGTGTGCTCAGATTTGGGTGCACGTTAAAGAACTTCAGGTGGTCAAAATTTCCGGAGGCCTCCACTACGGCGTCTCTCATAATCATATGGTTGTTTTGGGACGTTAAACCGCACATAACAATCATCAGACATTGCTACCAAGACAAACCATGAAACATTCCGTGATATGTTATCGAGCCACTTCACAAACTTCACCGAGTAGATGCCTCTTCGTAGCTCAAGGATGAATATTGGGAACTTTTTCCCCTATACGCACAATCATCAAAGCAAATTTTTGGTGTGATAAGCTGGTTCTGACTGGCAGTTATCTCGCATATATCGCCTATTTTATTTTATTTGAGAAGGAAATTCACCCCACTGTATTGCCGCTATTAAATGTATCGTTTCTTTTTTTTTGATAGTTGTCTCGCATGGTCTTTAAGTTTTCATTTCTTAAAACATAAACTCGTTTTAAGATTGTCGCAGCTGTGATTTGTAACCGCTCTGTTCTTATGCTCCATAAACGCAACATTTCGCTTATTGTTCGCATGCGAGCTTCGTCTTTACATGTATATGTGTATGTATTGAACTGTAGTGTTTTCTGTTTATTATATTGCAATTGTATCTTTTCTTATGTATTTTTGCTCACTCGATATGTATATGTATGTTTTGTGTATCACCCCCTTTACTCAATGCCCCCCCCCCCAGGGCCTGTAAGGTACCTTGAAATAAACTTTGATTTTTACTTAACAGCGTCATCACAGAATTACCACTTCTCTGATTGTTCTTACGTTAATGCTTTTTTTATAAAGTGTTTAATTTCCTTCGCTGTTCTGGAACCTATCGCGCAAACATGTTTTCTGATTTAGCTGTAATACCTTATATTGCCACAAAAAATTAATAAAAGATTATTGAAGACTACAAAGAAGCAGCACACTGTGGAAAGGAAAGGAAATTTTTATGGCCTCAAGAAAATGCGGATACCGTCCAAGCGTCGTTTACGGTGTTTTGAGCATTCTCCCGGTATTTTCTTTTTCTTGAAATGAAGTACCGTATTCAAATGTGCAGTTCGAGTAAAAAGACAAATGCGCTCTTTGTTCCGGAAAATAATAACGATGAACAAATGAGTTAAGAAGAGCTCATCAGCCGCAGATCTATCTCAAACGCAGTTATTCAGCTTCTTCGTATTGAGCCTTCTGTCATGTGTTCCGCTTCAAAGAGTGAGCCAATAAAGATATGAAATTCAAGCACAACGCGTTCAACCATTCTAGAAGTTTACCAGGCATTTCCATTAATTACCGAATTCATCAACTTTGACGCATTTCGAGCTGCTGAAAACAGTTCTTCTAAAAAATTTTTGCATGATCACCATACTTTTTTTCAGTGCCTTAACTCTTCTGCGAGTTGCATGCTTTGAAAACTATTAAGGCATGACCACTTGAAAGGCAGACATACGTATAGTTATTTTTTTGTGCAAGAGTTTCGCAGCTGTTTTAGCTAAACCCATTTATTTCGGCTTTCGTTTTTTTTTTATTTTAACGGAGACAGGCCAAATCAAGAGGCAACAATTAGCTACCCAGTCCCTCTTAGGAATGTGATTGGTTGCTTTCTTCTTATCCTGATCATTCGTTTGTTGTGATATTTAAACGAGCATTTCACGTACTTTTCTTTTCCTTCAAGGAATCATCTTGAATTTAATCGAGCATTTCCCTCGCACTATATTTAGAACGCTGCAGTTGAAAAAAAAATACATCTTGAGAGCGCTGCCGAAAGACACACTTATTCCTATTAGGTTAAATTAAAAGTGATATATTCTATCGTGCATGTACAATCCTCGTGTGAGCAGTACAATATTCACTTTTTCCGTCGGTTTCAACATAGAAATAGCAACAGCACGTGTTGCCACCCAAAAAACTTCCGATAACTTCAATCTTCTCTCTCTATCACCGAACCAGAAAGCTTGTTTTTGTTTAAGTTCTGCTAGACTGAGAAAAACTCTTTTCCCGCTTTTAGCTAACAGAAAGGCGTTTAAAGTGAAAGACTGGCTTTCGTAGTGTTCTGCTAAACTTGAAAGTATACTTATTTTAAATATTTTTCAAGAGACAGGAGCGAAACTGTTGAAATATGAACTGGTTTTTCGCTGAATCTTTGTTCCCCGAAAACGCTAATAGGCTGTGCCAGCGCACAAAACAAGAAGTCGTTCAGGATCTCTGTTTGTAAACAACGAAATGGTCTATACTCATCCGCGAAAGCTTTCAATGTGTATTCGTTGTATTGCCGCATTAATGATGAAACTATCTCAACTGAAGCTTCGCGCACGCATAACGTTAAAACCATATATATATATATATATATATATATATATATATATATATATATATATATATATATATATGACTCTCTCCAATATTTGTCCCTCTCTTCATGTCATTCCGTTTTCTCTGTTTTGTGCACCAGCGTTGCCGCGTTTCTTTAGACCATCACTTATGGGCAGCGCTCACTTAATTAACACGCGTTGTTTGCCTGGCATTTCTTTAACGCAGTCAAAAACACCAAACGCGTATGTCTGGCTTTCGCCGCTCATTTGACTAATCACAAACGTTTGCAGTGACTTCGTAAATTATTCCAACACAGGCAAAACACCTATAAACATGCGGAACTCGCGTTATGTGGATACCACGTAAGCATTCCACATTGCATATCAGTCTATAAGAAAGATTCCGTTAGGCAAGCTGCCTGAATAGTTTTATTGCACTCGCCAAATTTCAGAAATTCGCCTGCATCGCCACTCTACCCCTCTTTCGCTCTAGAGGTGTCATAATAAATATGCTAATAATGCAAGATGACTGCTTTTTATTTCTCCTTCACTGCCATATCATTCGTCGGAGTATATCGAAGCTTAAGAAAGTCATCGTCGTAAGCATAGTTCGCGGTGCATCCGTATGAGCAATGACCTATAATGCTACTTTCACACAACTGCGGAAAAGCACTAAACTATTCGGCGTTGCTAAATGGAGTCTTTCGATGATTCTTCTGACAACTCGTATTTATCAGGCATTTATTGGGTAGTATTCACTTGCTTAGCAACAGGGTTTTCCAAGCAATATTTGTAATGAACGTTCCACGTTAACTGACGTGCAGCCTGTGAGTTATTTACCTAATGTCCAATCTACTTAGCAACCTACCTATGGTTCATCTTGTAGCGTGTAATTAGCATTCTTTTCCCTAAGGGGATGATTGGGGCTACTTGGTATCGTCTACTTCTGTTCGTCTCTGCGTCTTCTTTGTCGGTATTGCTTTTAAAACATCTCATAATCAAGACTTAGCTATCCTTTTTTTTTGTTTCAGCTGTCATTTGTGCATCGTAGCTCGTGTTTGTGCTACCTTTAGCCTCAGCGTAAACGTTCGTTGGCCTTTTTGTGTGTGTGTGGATGAATACATTTCCCTTAAGTTCCCTTCAAAGCGCATCGTGGCCGTGGAGACCTATGGCATAAAACTTCTCTGTCGATCCCTGCTGACATGAACAGGTGAATCGAGATTTCAGAAGTATCAGATGATCTTGTAATTAAACAATTTGCTGGAAATTTTGTCACCAGTGAAAAGGACACCAAGCACAAGAGCGCTCCAAAGCATGCGGAAGTGAGTCCGCGTAAAAGATGAGACGTACGCATCGGGACAATTTTGCGCGTGTAGTGAACGATGGCCGTGCGGGACGCCCCGCTAGAAATTTTAGAAACTCATCTCTTGTCCATTTTACCATCGGTAGATAATACACAGAGAGAATGTTCATTTTTTAAGCACAGCTTTCTTCGCGAAGCTCCCTATGTTTTACTGACCACCCCTGCTGCTGCTCTTTTGCCGAATCTTGACGTGACCCCTGCCTGACTGACCGAGGAGTTGACCGTCTGAATCCTCAGTCTGCAGAAAGCCAGGTTGGCTTCTTCAACCAATGTAAGGCGTTCACAGATGCATTAGAGTCTTCGCCAACATGGTACAAAAATGAAGCCTGACATGAGTACAAAGTTCAGCAAACGAAACGTCGCGAATGGCTTCGATTCACTCTGAATCGAAGTATGACCAACATGGCTGGTTAGATGTGCTGCCTTATTTTTATTTCTCAGTTATCAAGCAAAAATATTTTTCATCAGCGAAAGAATCCGTACTTTTCAATAAAGATGTGCGCGGAAGTCTTTTTCTGAAAAAAAAAAAGAAGAGCACGATCATAGTTGCAAATTCAGTTTGAAACTGTGACCGTGAAGGCAAGACGCAAAAGCGCCGCTATGGTAGCGCGTGCAAGAAGTGGTTGTACGTTCACACCACCTCGCAATCGTATTCTTACCTTCGTAGCGACGGCCGGCACCTCCCAGATTGAAGAACAGTAGAAAACAAATCCATCGTGCAAGAGTCACTGAAGCACGGAATGCCATTCCACTACAAACCGCAGTTCACACCTCTCCACTCTCTTGTTCACAGTCACTTTCTGTTCACGCTATAGAAACCTGTCACAGACAAAGAGGGCTGCATGACACTTATGGAACGTGCTGTAACACCCAACCCCGTAGACATAACTCGCGTCGGCGTTATGCCATTACATCTTTGAACCTTCAAGCGCAAACCAAACGCAACCTACAAAAATGTACGCGGAACTCTTGAGTTTAGGAGAATAGTTATTCTAGCGAGCAGCCCTCTCCGAACGCGCGTTATCTTACGCAGACGTCACAACGCAGAAGGTTCCTTTTGTTTGGCAGTTCAGTCTGAGTGGTGCGCGAACGCGTTCTAACAAAAGCGCGAAAGCAGACTCGAGCGAACCGGCGCACTTTTCAAACTTCCCACGCAATCAGGACCCGGGAGCTGCATCGCCGGGAGAGAATCAGCTCCGCTCAGCTGCTCCCGAGAGGAGACGGCTTGTTTCTGAAAGAGCAGCGCGCCGAGTTGGGCTTCGCTGCCCGGCGCGCTTAAGCGCGCTGCTAGTGGCGCGCTGCGGCCGTCCATGGAAACTGCTTTCCCATTCAAAGCGAACCCCAGCCGGCGACCCTTTTTCACGGACCTCCGGCGCCGTTAACCTCCATCGTTTCTACCTTGCTGTGACGCTCAGCTGCGCGCGCGCGTCTCATGTGCTGTCGCGACATTCGACCTAGCTCGCACCACTTGTCTTTCTTTTGACGAGAGAAGACGACTCAGATGTAAACGCGTTGACAATAGCACTGTCCTTTTTTTATTAGTTGCCATTTGTTTTTGTTTTTCGTGTTTATTTTCTCTTTTTTTCTTCTTTTTTTCTGTTCTCCGGTTCACTTCTCTCGTGCGACACGCGCAATCTCATAACGTTTTAATTTATTTTTTGTAATGAGTGTACTTCATCAGCTATCTTCGCTTTGAAGCAGCTGACTACATAGGGCGCACGAAGGATACAAACACCACGATAAACTTTATACGGATGGTTCGACAAATGTTAGGGGATCTGCAGGAGCTGTGATCTTCCCACCAAAAGCCGGAACCATCTAATTTCGAACGTCTCACAAAATAACACCGACAGCCACAAAGCCCGCAGCACTCCGCTGTGCACTGCGCAGGATTGATCAAGAAGCACCTCTAAAATGGTGCATTTTCACCGATTCGAAACCAGCCCTGTATTGTATTCGAACTGCACTACGTCGTGGACCTCAAGACCAATTGGTGCTGGAAACAAGACAATTGTATCAGCAAGTGCTACAGAAAGGACAGGATGTAACTTTTCAATAGTTACCAGGCCACTGCGGAATCATCCATAACAAGCATGCCGACGATGCAGCAAAGAACGCTCACGAAAATGGCATGATGGATCCCATTCCACTGTCAAGAAGTGACGCCGCAGCAAGGATTAATACGCTCGGGCACGTTGTTACCAGGTCTCTGCGGAACACGCCCGGATTTCTACACACCCGTCTTCACCATCTGGACCAATACCTACGACTTTCCATTCCATCTGGGTTGTCCAGATTTGAGACAACCGTTCTCTGTCGCATGTGGCTCGGGGTGTCTTTTACGAACGCCTTTGCTTGCCGCATCGGGTGGGCAGACATTGCTGCGTGTGGTCATCGCGGTGCTGACGAAACCAACGAACATATTTTGTGTCAGTGCCTTCAGTACAACTGCTACAGACAGTCCCTGTCAGCAGTGTTTGCACGCCTCGACGACCAGCCGCTTTCCGAAAAATTAATTTCGGAATACCAGAAAGATCAAGCTTCACGCCAAAAAGCGACGAAGGCCCTCCTGAAGTTTCTGCGATCGACCAAACTCGTCGAACATTTGTGACGTTTTAGTGCGTTTGTGTGCTTTCGCATCCTTCCCGCTCTCTTTCTCTCATTCCTTTTCCTTACTTTTCTTTCTCCCATTTCCCCTTCCGCAGTGCAGGGTAGCAAAGGAGACACTTGCTTTCTGGTTAACCTCCCTACCTTTCTTCATACCATATCTCTCTCTCTTCGCTTCTGGCTCTCACATCACGGCTACGCAGATGCAAAATACGGCGCCTCCTCTTGGCTCTCCGAGACGAGCGATATGTCGGAGAGATGGGAAGTTACGAAGACTACCGAGAATGGGATGTAAAGTAAGCTTTCCTGCGTCCTTTGACTAGCTTAGGTGAAGACAACGTATAGAAAAAAGTTTGCACCACGGCGTATACTCCGGTGTACGATTAGTGTTTACGGGGCCAGAATTGGGGCTCGGACAACGTCAGAGTTTGTGATCTGACATCGGCGAGTAATGATAGTTAAAAGGCAGAAAGTAAAGCTTAACATAACGTTTCCAAACTGAGGGTGCCAAGTCGTCAAACGTCAACTTAATCCTGTCACCAACCCACTTCAAACATGCATGTAGTGCTACCTTTTATCGATTGAGATCTAACGCTAGTTCGATTTCTCGTAAACGAAAAAGGGGAAATTAGGTGTTGTACTACAAAACTAAGTCAACAGTAACTTCTCGAAAATAGCTTGATGTATTCATATACCATACTCTAAAATGAGGGGCGTGAATTAAGATGAATACAAAATTATAACGACACGATGCACGACGAGCACCTCTATCTCCTTATATTTGTGCTCGCCGTCTTAACTCGCACCTCTCAATCTTATAGCTGCGTTTCACCATCTAGTCAAACAACTAACAAGAAGCACTTTTGATACGTCATCCTCTCTTTGTTTCGAGGAAATATGTTTCCCATAAAACATTTTTCCTGGCTCCCCCCCCCCCTTTCCGGCATCTCTGCCAACTGCCGGCAATGCCCAGAGAAACTAGTTACGTTGCCACAAGATTATAACTGTAACGCTTAACAGCATCTGCTCTACCTGATTCCTGACACTTGCCAGAAATTTTCTTTATTGGTACTTGTGTAAGCATCAGGAGCCAATTTTTCATCGATAAAAGGATTAAGGAACAAGCACGTCCACTGTCTAACTCATACATAAATCATTTTAGGCGTTAACGCTCGTTCCTAGGTGATACATTCCTTAACTGCTATGTCCAGATCCGAAGTGGCTCAAGTTTGATTTTACGAACAACTCTAGCATTAGCACTTTCAAGGAGCATGGCTGGGCTCTAGCATACTTACTATTTTCTATGTCACTGATGCTGCCAATAAAGGTTGCCAGCAAACGCTGGCATAACCACTCCTTCAAAGTTTGCCTCCAAATCAATTCTTCCACCACGGCTCCTCCACCGGCATGAGCTCAGGCGTACTACTTCGAAGCCCCTGTAAAATCTATCCTAATATTTATGAACGTATTGAACTCACTAGGAGCATCAGTGCCGACTACCTAAACCTGCGCGAAAATGCTGTAGCCTCGAGTTTAACGACTTTAGACGGAGATCGGTTGCGATCTTCGAAGCACGACAAGCATACATGCATAGCCTCCTCTATTGCGATTTCTCGAATTTCAACAATACTATTCGTGGTTTTATATGCCAATACCACTATGAGTATATGAGGCACGCCAAACTAGAGAGCTACAGAAATATCGATCATCGGGTGCTCTCTAACGTGCACTGGCATCGCTCACCACAAGGGCCTCTACCGTTTCGCCTCCATCGAAATACGACCGCCGCGGCCGGCATCGAACCTTGGTCAGTGGTCGCACACCATAACCGCTACACCACCACTCCATTGCATTTCCGATGGAGGCGGAAATGTTGTAGGCCCGTGTACTCGAATTTGGGTGCACGTTAAAGAACCCCAGGTGGTCGAAATATCCGGAGCCCTCCACTACGGCGTCTCTCATAATCATATGGTGGTTTTGGGACGTTAAACCCCACATATCAATCAACCACCACTCCGTACTTCTCGAATTTCAGACGACTGCCGTCGCTACTAAATTTTATAGGGAATATGTATGAATTCTAGTGAAAGCCAATGAAAACCCACAATTTCGTCTGCAATACTTGATTTGGAAGTTCCACTCTGGCTGCCTAATTATTGCACACCAGTAACTTATTGAGACACGTCACATCGTCATATTGACAGGCGAAGCAACTAGAATATTTATTTTTATGTATTATTATGTTTCCATTTCCGACCTACAAGTTCATTATCCAATCCATTTGAAGTGTCGATTACGGCGAGAAAAGTTTGTGTTGTAAGATTTTTCCGTGGTATTGTGAGAAACAGTCAGTAGGCAAGAAAAGGCAAGAAAGTTGAACAACGACATTGTAGAGTTTTAAGACAAAGGTGCCAACAATGCATAAACAATTGAGAATAAAGTCGTGTCAACGCCACTTTTTGCCCATGCTCAGTAAAAGCCGCATGATGGGCGTCTCTACACTGCTCCTTTGCTTAGAAGTAACTCTATACAATGCGTGATGCGCGGGTGTCGTAATTATACCAATTAGGGCACGGCACAGATACTGCTCTCTGTTCTGAATGCTCTGATTTGCTTAAGACTTACCGGTAGGCTAGTTGAGGATTGATGAGAGGATATACCGACGCATGCCGAAACAAGGACGACACTACAGAATCTACAAACGCAAGCTCTGTACATCTCACGATTTTCTGCTTCTACCTTTAATGTAAACTTCAAGTATTCACTACACACGCACGCCCCCACGCGCACACAAACACACATGCACACACCGCACACACGCACACGCACACACGTGCCTAGGGTGCAGCCGCGTTCACGTCCGAGTCGAACACGCAAGCACTGTAGCCGGTTTTTTCTCTGTGAGGCGACACCTTGGTGCAGTTTCGGGCTTTGAAGTAGTGCGTCAGGAGCATGAGTGCCCTAACAGTCAATCTGACTACGTCAGAGCCCGCAATGGCCGCGAGGTGTCACCCCGCACAGGAAAAACAACGTGGCATAGGTAGACTTGCTTTGGGAGCACACGGGAACACTCCAAATCAGGGGGTACAAGGTGACATGGGATGGACATCGTTTGAGTGCAGGGAAGCTAGCAGCAAGATAGAATTTGAGGAGTGATTGAGAAAAATGGGAGATGAACGTTGGGCTAGGAAAAATTTAAGCTACTTGTACATGATGATTGTTGATACTAAATGGAGGAAGCGAACTCGAAATTGTCACGCAAGTATTTAGACAACATGCAGAATACCAAGCCAAAAGGAAACATCGGTTAAAAAGAAAGTAAAGGAAACAGAGAGGGACATGTGGAAGATTGGAATACTTACGAAATAATCACTGGAGGCCTACCAAACTTTCAAGCAGGAAAATCGCAAAGAAAAGATCTACGATAATTCTCGGGGTAATTCTCTGCTATTCGAGGCCAGAACAGCAGTATTGCGGACAAAGACGTACCGAGCCAAACACGAAAGCACAGACACGGTACGTAGTGCGTGTGGAGAGGAGGAGGAAACGGCTGAACATTGGATATGTTTTGTAAAGGGCTCCA